TCTCCGTGTACTTTAGACCACGTGATTACCGCTGGAGGATAGCTAGTCACGTGACAAGTTGGTAAAGTGAAGTCCTTGTTCTTTTCGACGTAGGATGGTCCAAACGAGAGAGAAACTTTTGGCTCACCTGGAAGAAAATAATAATAATAATAATAATAATAATAATAATAATAAAAAAATAATAAAATACAACAATTATCTTGTGTAACAACACACCCAATAGGGACATGTTTAATGGTACTATATCAACAGCAAAGCTTTTTGCATTCGACGTGAAAATTCGTTGTCGTTCAGTCTAAATACCCACAAGACAAAGCTGCAAATAATAATAATAATAATAAAAAAAAAACATTCTTGAACGTCTTAATACCGGCATAAGAAGACAGAAAACGCGAGGAAATAACAATCTCATAATCACTGCCTAGACGTCTCAAATATTTCTCAGTTTATTTTGTCAAACCCATGTCCCCTTTTCTGAAGACTGTTTTGCACCAAGCTCGCATGAGCGCAATAACTAACAGAATGTACAGAATACTCAGAGTGCGTTTAGAAATACAACATTGATTAAGGTCATTCCACTGAAATAGAACCTGCACTGAGATTTTCGTGAAACTTTGCCTATTGATTATTTATATTATAGGAACTTGCATTTTGAAATAAAAATGAGGGGTCCCCAAGTCCGTTTGGGAGCAACAGCATCATGTTTATACCCAATAAATCCTTTTCATAGCACTATGATTGTAGTCACGACCGCTTGTTAAATTCACGTTTCCGACAATTGTTTTTTGTTCTACACTGAGAATTGGCCCATATTTGTTTTACACAGAGAAATTTATTACTCAATTCAAAACAACAGAAAAAAAATGATAAGTCACCATACTCGTTTGCGAGAAAATGACGATTTACCTCTATGCCGAAGTCCAGCCGTAAAGAAAAAGCCGCCATTTTTTAATGCGCGTGCGCTAATCACGCGTGAAATTATGCGCAGTAGGGATGCGCAATGCAATACTGGGGAATGACCTTTAACTACTCCATAGCGTGTTTATAGGTGAAGCACCTGCGGCTCATTCATACATGACAAATAAACCTTGTACTGCGTACAACTTCAGAAGGAGCAACAAAATAATTGTCCCGCGTTTTAACTCGCAGTTTCTTAAAAACTCTATTAGCTATAGAGGCGCTATTCTTTGGAAGCTGTCTCGACCCATTTCACAGGCCATTTTACTGCTTTTGATCGCAAAGAAGGACTCTTATTTCAAGGGACTTAATTTTAGCGCGCAGTCGGTCCAGTCGCTGCCCAAGAAGACCTTGGGCGAAATCTTTAAAATCTTGGCACTACCAAGATTTTAAATGTTTTTAACTATTTTATGTTTAAACGCTGTAGTCAATTTACTTAGAGGTAACTAATTTGAATTCATTTTAACTTTGTACCTTTTTATAATCTTACTGTATATTTTAGAGTTTTTATTATAGCGAGAGTATTTTGTAAGTAATGTTATCCCTATTTTAGATCTATTTTCGTTTGTAATTAATTTTACTCGACCCCACAAGCTTTGAGCTTGAAATCTTATCGTGTTTAAATAAGGGATATGTATGTCTGTATGTATGTCTGTCTGTCTGTCTGTCTGGCTGTCTGTCTGTATGTATGTATGTATGAAACAGAAATACGAACCTTAATTGCTTGTGCGTAAAAACTCCAGTTCTATTTATTTGTTCAAACGTTAAGGCTCAATCAAAATAGAAAATGGACGGATTGAAATGACCCATCTCGGTTTCTCAAATTACAAGAAGAACAACACAAATGTTATTTCTCACGAATGAAATTGCAGAGGAGACTAGCAGAAATAAATATTTTGTCGACAGCCTAACTGGCACTAAGCTTGCGTGCGATGTAAATGAGCATGGAAACGTTAGCCTAACTAATATTAGCCCAGGTGCTTACTTGAGGTTTCTTTGTCACAAGTAACATGTAATGTCAGAGTTGTAGTTCCAAATCTAACCGTTGGCAGCCTAACCGGCACCACGTCTATGTGCTAACTTTGGGATGTAGGTCAGGATTGACCAATAATGGCAGCTTTGTTGTAAATTTTCCCGTCATTTTGAAAGCAATAGATATATGTAAATTGCACGATAGTGTAAGAGAATGATTGTCTTCCGTATAAACTTTGTAAAGGTTGGTTCTCGCCAGGCTCTACATAAATTAATTTTTTTTCAATGTGTGCTACATCGCGTGTAGTTAAGAAAAAAAATAAAGTATTACGATTTCAACTTACTTTGTACAACAAGGCTCGCAGCGTTTTCATCCTTTCCCAGAATATTGCGCGCCATGCATTTGTATTCCCCAGCATCCTCTAAGCGAACGTCATCAATCTGCATCAGGCCATCTGACGTCACCTTGATCCTGTTACTAGGTAACGATCCATCAACCCTAACCCAAGATAGCTGGGGAGCGGGATTTCCACTAGCAGAGCAAAACAGAGCAGCAGTGTTGCTTTCGTTAACAGTCAGTTGCGAAGCCGGAGAAATTGTCACCTTTGGTGCAGAAATTGATTCTCCGGGTTCACCTTTAATCCCTGGGATACCCGGTGGCCCGATATCTCCTTTAATTCCTTTTTCTCCTCTTATGCCCGGTGGTCCCATAATTCCTTGCTTTCCACCTGGACCCGGCGGTCCCATGATTCCTTGGGGACCTTTTCTTCCTCTCCTTCCCGGAGGTCCCGGCAGTCCTCGCGGGCAAACATCAAGGCTTCCACTCTTCTGACAGATCTTTTTGAAACTCGAGGTGACAACGTCTTCAAAAACTTCTTTCATGTTAGCTGAATTATTAAACTTTGGATTGTTGGCAATGCTACGTGTGATTCTATGGAGCTTTGTTTCACTGTTTGCCTCTTTCTGTTCAGAATGAAGAGGTGAAGTTTCTAAACAGGAATCAGAGAGATAATCAGAGATATCTCAGTACCTCAGTTAGAGTCGACTGACTGAAAATACAAAAGATCTGTTTCTGCCGTTAGGCCGTTTCATTGAGTAGAATACAGCTCTCACATGGAAGCTAGTAAATTATCAGTTAGGAGGGTCTGTCTGTCTGTCTGTGTGATAAATGAAAGAGATTTGTGACATGAAAGACCAACTTGAAGCCGTTTTAACGAGGCATGTCTACACGAGGTCAAACGTGACCATCACAGGGGATCGCATTACTTGCATGAAATCAACTAAAATTCACCATCTTTCTTTATTTATAAAGCGAACGATGATCTTATTTAAGGTAGTTAAATTAAAGGAACCCGTTGTCAAGACACTGAGAGCAACTGGAAGTTGTAGAATGTGTTTTTTGCTTTCGTTTTCCAAACGTAACACGAACGGTGATTTAAAAGGGACCAAGAGATATTTGGGATATTTGGTTACAATTCTTTCACTGAAAGAATTCAAGTGTTAAACCGAGTCATTTATCTGATCACGGACGCTAAGTTAATATACTATGCAGATACGATCGATGAGTGAATTGTAGAAGAGGAAGAGGTTTTACGTTTAATTTATTGCCGACACACCAATACCTTACCTTTATTCCAAGTGTCCGCCATTCCGTGTTTCATCTGAGAAATGACTTCCTCCACAGCCATCAACCTTTGATCGAGATCATTAAACTTCCGCTCGATTCTAATGAAACTAGCGTAGTAAAGAAGCAAACAAACCACAGACAACACTGTGCCAGGGCTCACTGATAAACCACAGCTTCTCGACGACATTTTTGGACACAGAATGGTCAAAACAGATCTAACGTGCTCAAAAACGACCTGTAAATTAAGACACCGCTGTAACTTAGCACCGCTCATAACTTGACCCTTCCTTTGAGTATCAACAGGAAATTCCTTAAAAATCTTAGTATCACTTTCACGAATTCCTCACTGGGTTAGAGACGGAGTGGGAGGAATGTTTCAAGTTTTTCTTTTAAAAAGTATTGACTTTGACTCGAGCGGCATGCGTTGGGGATTTCGGTCCGAGTACCTGGGAAGGAGACTAATGTATTACACGAGTGAAAATATTTTTAGAAAATTTCGCAATCACGGACTGGAAAGGCACCATAAACTTCAAGCGCCTAATTCTGACCGAGAACCGAATGGGTGCTAAGTCAGTGCTCAGTTATTTTATTATTCTTTTAATTTTTAGGAAGCAAAGGAATGTTGTGGAAGTTAAAGTTTGTCTAGAAAGGTAAACCTTTCTGTTTGTTATCCAATCCTTGGAAAATAGAGGCAATTGAGCACTCTGATTGGCTAGTTTTAGTCACTCGTATTGTAGCCGTGCTACAGTTTAACATTCCTGAGT